TAGGGGGTGGGGAGTGGTGATGTTTTGTGATGTTCCCTGGGTTTGACCTAAAAAAGAGGTAAACGGAGCAAACCCAGTAAGGTGAGTTCACTCCAGAGGGAGGAGCCAGCTGCAGGCGAGGGGGCTGAGGGTGCGGGGGGGGAGGGGGGCTGAGGGTGCGGGGGGCTGAGGGGGGGCTGAAGGTGGGGCGCTGAGGGCGCGGGGGCTGAGGGGGGGCCGAGGGTGTGGGGGGGCTGAGGGCACAGGGGGGCTGAGGGTGTGGGGCAGCTATGCTTATGGGCAGGGCAGGCAAAGATGGGAGAGTTGCTCAGATCCGTTAAAATAAAAAGCACAGACAACTTCCCGGCACACTAGTCAGTCCAGTCCCGAAGAAAACCTCAACTTAGCCGGCTTTTCCAGACCAGCCCTGTCTGGCTCATCTCCCATCCACCTCCGGAAAAACTTCCTGAGATTGATATCAGCACTTCTGAGCAAACCCCAACACCCAAGAAAGTTCCAGCAGGATCCGTTGTCTGTGAATCAAGCATTTGCGGGAAGTCTGGCTCTTAGTCCTTCCTTCCGTGTGTCTGCCCGAGATTCTCCGTTTCGTATCTTCTGGTTCCAGTTCAGACTGAAATTCTCTCCTGGGTGAATGAATGAATGAATGAATGGACGAACATTCTCTCTTCTCCTGAAGACGAAGCTGTGGGAGTGGGCGAGGGACTGGCCCTTGCGTGGGCCTGACCTAGAGAGGCCACAGGGGGCCCTGCTGGTCACTGAGGACCCATGGCTCTGGCCCTGTCTGCAGCCTTCCCTCCCCACCCCGCCTGTGGCTCTCCTGGCCATCAGCGAGGTCGAGGCTTTAAATGTGGGGAGAGGAGGCAGCCCCTGTCATCTGGGGGACGTCAACAACTCACAGCTGGCCTCAGACAAGGCTCCTCGGGGACCCTGACAAGGAGAGCGGAAAGCAAGACCTTCCCACACCGTGTGAGCACAAACACGAGGACAGGTGCCACCACAGAAATGGCCACACAGCCCCCTCCCCTGGCCAAAAAGGGTGGCTGCACGCATCCCTGCTGCTGGAGGGGAGTCCTGACACCAGCCCAGAACGCACCCCTTCCAACCAACAGCCCCCACGCCGGAGCTGACGCGCGGGAGCCTGGGGACAGGGCTGCGGGCTCCCTGTGCAGGCACACACGTTCAAGGTGGCCTCACTGCATCAAGGTCTCCGAGAACACCGACGGCGTGCCAGTTCACCGTGTTTAACCCTCCGCTCCCCCAAGATGACCTCTGACGTGCTTCTAAACGTTCCGTGTGACACCGTGCTTCGGAACACCGGCTTTGTTATCTGTGCACAAGTTATACGTTCCGGAGTTCAGTGTTCAAAAGTTGCAAAGTCAGCAGTGACACGGTGTTGGGTCCCGGCCCTGAAGCGTCGGGCTGTGGAATAAAACTTTTGTGAAAATCAAGTCTCTCTTCTCTGTTTCTGTTTTAACTCTAGAGTATTTGTGTTTTTCTTATTGATTCAAGAATTCTATATCTTAAAGATATCAACTCTTACATACGCCTCATATATTTGTCACAAATATATTCCTCAGCTCATTGTATCTATTTTAGTGTTTTATGATATTTTTATACACAAATATCTTGCATTATTAAGTCAAAGCTGTTAGTCTTTTCTGTATGATTTTACTTTTTTTTTTATAATCCTCACCCTAGGATATTTTTCTATTTATCTTCAGATAGAGTGGGAGGGAGGGTGAGAGAGAGAGACAGAGAGAGAAACATTGACGTGAGAGGGACACATCAACTGGTTGCATCCCCACAACCCAACCAGGCCTTGGAGAGACTGCAACCAAGGTACGTGCCCTGGACTGGAATCAAACCTGCGACTCTTTGGTCCACAGGCTGACACTCTCACCATTGAGCCAAACCATCCAGAGCTATGATTTCCACATTTTTTTTTTTTTTTTAATCCTCACCCGAGGACATTTTTCCATTTTTTGTTCAGATAGAGCGGGAGGGAGAGAGAGGAAGAGAGAGAGAGAGAGAAACATCCATGTGAAGGGACGCATCGAGGGGCTGCCACCCGCACAACCAACCAGGGCCGGGGACGAACTGCAACCGAGGTACATGCCCTTAGCGGGAACCGAACCCGGGTCTCTCTGTACCGCAGGCCGACACTCCAACCGCTGAGCCAAACCGGCCAGGACTGATTTCCACTTTTTAAAGTCACGCTTAAAAAGTGCCTCTCCAGTCTAGCTGGTGTGGCTCAGTGGTTGAGTGTCAATCCATGGACCGAGAGGTCGCTGGTTCAGTTCCTGGTCAGGGCACATGACAGTCTGTGGGCCCGATCCCCAGTAGGGGGCGTGCAGGAGGCAGCCAGTCGATGTTCTCTCTCATCGATGTTTCTGTCTCTCTCCCTCTCACTTCCTCTCTCTTTAGTATCAATAAAGGGAAAAAACTTTTAAAGAAACAGCAACCAGGGTGCCTTTAGGAGGTGGATGGATAAATAACCCGTGGTCCATCCAGACAGTGGGATATTCTTCAGTGCTAAAAGTAATGAGCCACAAGGCCATGAAAAGATGTGGAGGCCCTGGCCAGTTTGGCTCAGCAGTTAGAGTGTCGGCCTGCAGTCCAGAGAGACCTGGGTCCGGTTCCCGCTAGGGGCACAGACCTTGGTTGCGGTTTGTCCCCGGCCCTGGTTGGAGTCGTGCGGAAGGCGGCCACTCAATTTGTCCCTTTCACGTCGATGTTTCTCTGTCTCTCTTCCTCTTTCTCCCTCCCACTCTATCTGAACAACAACAATAACAAAAGACATGGAGGAACCTTAAATGAAAATTTCTAAGTGAGCAAAGCCAATCTAAAAAGGCTACAAACAGTATGATTCACACAATGTGGCCTTCTGGGAAAGGCAAAACTATGGAGACAGAAAAAAGGATCTGGTTGCCAGGGGTTGGGGGAGGGAGGGATGAGGATTTTTAGGGCAGTGAAGCTATTCTGTATGATATGTAATGATGGGTACATGTCATTATACATTTGCCCAACCCCCTGGAACGTACACTACTGGAGTGACCCTCTGTAAACGCCGGACTTTGAGTGACAATGATGTCAGTGTAGCCCATCTCTTGTAACAGGTGCGCCGCACTGGTGGGGATGTTGATAGTGGGGAGACTGTGCATGTGTGTGTGTGTGTGGGGGGGGAGTGCATGGGAACTCTCTGTATTTCTGCTCAGTTTTGCTAGAAACCCAACACTGCTCTAAAAAATAAAGTCATTTGAAAAAGAATAAAAAATAAAATCTATTTTGAAAAATAGTGGTTGGGGGCCAGCCTGGGGCCACCTAAGGCCATGGCTCACAGGCCTCCTCCTCCTCCACCAGGTGATTTCCCTTTAGGTTGGGTCCCTCCCAGGCGTACACACGTGTTGGAATCTCCCCCAATGCTGATTCCCATTTCAGAGCACCCCTTTGTAGGGGGCAAGCACCTCACATCTTCACTGCCCTTCCCCCACAGTCCTGAGTGCACTCCGCCCTCAATCACCTCAACAGTGACCTCCCCCGCCTCAGTCTGAGGGTTGGCCCCTAGTGCTCCCAGGACACTCCTGGTGCTCAGCCCCCCTCTCTCCCGCTCCCCCAGCTCCTGGAAACCAATAATCTGCTTCCTATCTCTACATATTTGCTTATTCTGGGTAGTTCCTATAAATGGAGCCATGCAATATGTTACTTTTTATGTCTGACTTCCTTCTTTTAGCATGTTTTCAAGGTTCACCCGTGTTGTAGTATGTATTAGGATTTCATTTTCATTTATTTTGTGGCTGAATATATTCTGTTGTATGGTTGGACCACACTGACTTATCCATTCTCCTGTGGAGGGACATTGGGCTGTCCCCCCGCCCCACCCCTTTGGATATTGTGATGGTGCTGCCGTGAACATGCATGGACACGTGTTTTTTGGACACGTTTTCGATTCTTCGTGGTGTATACCTGGGAGTGGGGTTTCAGGTCCTGTGGTAGCTCCATGTTTAACTCTGAGGAGCCGCGGGCGGTGCCGCTGAGGTGCTCACTCCCACGCAGGTGAGGACGGAGGCCAAGCAGCTGACCTGGTGTCGCACCCAGTGCCTCATGGAGAAACGGAGGCTTCACCGCCACTAAGGCTGCCCCGTCCCTGACGCCAGGCCCCTCGCCCTCTGTGGGTCCGCAGCTCCAGGCCACCTGCAGTGGGGCGGTCATGGAAACCCCCACGTGGGGAAAGTCCGGAATTCTACAAGAGTCTCTTTGCTCCCCTCCCAGCAAGCTGGCTGGGTGACGCCGCACCGGTCAGGCTCGGCTGGATGACACAGGTGCACCCGCGAGGGGTGCGTGGCCCTAAAAAGGAAAGTGAGGACTGAGCTTCTCGGCAGTTCTAGATTCCCCGGAACCGCGGTTATGGCTAAGGGTCCCTCAGTGACCGCTCAGCCCATCGGCGGGGAGGGTGGGGGGACTCTGGGTGCAGAGTGACACTGGAGGAGGAGGGTGCTCAAGGAGAGGACACAGCTACCGGAGGCAATGTTCACGGGCCACCCTTAAAGCCACGGTTCCGGGCACCACTGTGCGCCTTTCAGTGGGAACCGGGGAGCGGGCTGGCCCGGCAGTGGCCGTTAGCAGTGACGTGAAGTGCTTTGTCCTCCTGAGGCCGGGCCCACGCGAGTGAAGTGACGGACGGGGAGCGCTGACCCAGAAGCTTCCTTCGCAAAGGAAGGAAAAGCCAGCAGACTGCCGGCAGGTGCGAGTGGGGGCTGGTGGGTGGCCCTGGTGTCTTAGTCACAGGGACGTTTCCAGTCCTGCCCCTCTGAGAGCCCAGGGCGCTGATTGGCTTTGGGGCAGCAGGCCTCTGCTCCTTCCCTGGGGGAGTCTGCTATAACAGGGACCCAGCGCCCCGGAGAGCCGGCGGCAACACGGCCAGACACCCCGCGCGCCCGGTGGCACACCGTGGCCGCGGGATCCCGGGCAGGGAGGGGCCCTGATCCGCCCCGGCCCCTGCGATGGCAGGCGAGGCTCGGGCCGGCGCCGACGCGGCGCTGCGCCGCCTGCTGAGGCTGCACCGCACGGAGATCGCCGTGGCCGTGGACAGTGCCTTCCCGCTGCTGCACGCGCTGACCGACCACGACGTGGTTCCCGAGGACAAGTTCCAGGTGGGCCCCAGCCCGACCCCACACGCCCCGCCCAGGAGCCAGGTTAGCGCTGGGGAAGAGTTCCAGAAGCTTCCTCGCTCAACCCCACCCCCGCCCCTCCTGAGTCTTCCGCGCTCTCAATGCCCCTGACCATCCCCATGCCCCGCCCACGAGCCAGGGATGGTCCCCAGGACAGCCTGAGGTCGCCCTGCCTCCACTGCCCTAGCCCTTGCCAAGCCCCAGCCACCAGCCTAGGGTGGTCTCCAGGACAAATTCCAGAAGCCCCTCTGAGCCCTCCCCAAGCCTATGGCCAAGCCAGGGGCATGGTCCCCTAAGATGAGTTCCAAGTGGGCCCCCCTCGGCCCAGCACCCCCATGCCGTCCTCAAGTCTGCCCCAAGCCGAGGAATGGACAGGATGCCCAGGTCTCCAGCAGACTCCCCTGGGTTGGCATCCGCCCTCTAGTCCCGCCGCGGAGGAGGGAGGAAGTGGGGTGCGGGGAAGCACAGGGAGGACCCCCACGCCCTGCTCTTGCTTCAGGAGACGCTGCGTCTAAAGGAGAAGGAGGGCTGCCCGCAGGCCTTCCACGCGCTGCTCTCCTGGCTCCTGACCCGAGACGAGACCACCATCCTGGACTTCTGGAGGGTCCTCTTCAAGGACTACAACCTGGAGAGATATGCCCGGCTGCGGCCCATCCTGGACAGCTTCCCCAAAGGTGGGGCGCGGGGCTGGGGAGGGTCAGCCCCCTCGCTGTGGCTCCTGGAGTCGCATCGTCGTCGCTGAGCCCCAGTGGGACAAGTGGGAAGAAGTCGGGGCAGGGGGATTAGGGAGCCTCTGGACATCACCCCAGGCAACCTTGAGATCTAAGAGGCAGCGTGTGAGGCCTCACCCACCTGGCCTGGGGTCAGTTCTGGGCCTGAGGCCTGGCCCTGCTTCTGCCTGTGCCCTGCAGATGTAGACCTCAGCCAGCCCCGGAAGGGAAGGAAGCCCGCGGCTGGCCCCAAGGCCACCGTGCCACTGGCCAGACCCCCCACCAAGAGGAAGACCTTGGAGGAGCCTCGGCCTGCCCCGTCGGCAGCCCTGTCCCCGAGGGGCACCTCCAGCCCAGGTACGCGGTTTGAAGAGCAGGTCTGGTCATAGAGCCCCTGAGAGGTGGACACCCCGCTCCTACCACACCTCCCCACCGGGCTCTGGGAGCGTCGGTCCCACCTGGTCAGCGGAAGCCAGCCTGGCAGGCCAGCAGAGGTCCCTTAGGGTGCCTAGTGGACACACTGGAGGTTGCCCCGTGTCCGTGAAGTGGGCAGGTGCGTCACCTTCTTTTCACTGAGGTGAACACCAGAGCGCTGCAAAGCAAGGGAAGACTGCCCCCCCCTGACCTGAGCTCTCCACCTGCCCACTGGCTGCCACAGCTCCCTCTACAGGCTCCCAGGCAAAGGCCAAGCCCCCCAAGAAGCAGGAGAGCACCGCAGAGCCGCAGCGCCTCCCACTGGGGAATGGTGAGCAGGCCCCAAGCCCCCCCACCCCCGCTCCTGGGCCAGGGTCCAGAGAGGCAGGGGGAGGCTGTACCTGGAGGGGCCTGAGCTGGGACCTGGAACATGGGGGTCTAGCATCTCCCCCCAAAGCCACCAGATGCCTCTGGTCACCCCTCCTGTGCCCGACCTTTAGGGCCAGTACAACTCTGCTTTCTCCAGAGAATCCTCCTTGACCCTCATCCTTCAGCTGGATGCAGCCTGGCCTTCTTCTGTCCCCTCTCTGCCCCCGAACAGGAGACCCAGAGACCCCTGTGGTCACCTGGTGCTGACCTAGGTGCAGGCCTCTCCCAGCACACACACACACACACACGCACGGACCGTCTGCTCTGACACCTGGGCTGTCTATGTGTGCAGGGGCTGGGCCCCCTCCCAGGCCTGCCCAAGCTGAAGGAAAGAAGGAACCTATCGCCTACGTGCCTCTTGCTCCCCACTGCCCACAGGGAGGAGGTGCTCAGGGGCCATCTTCCCAGATGATGACCCCTGTCTGCTGCTCCCTTCCCCAGGAATTCAGACTGTGTCCGCTTCGGTCCAGAGAGCCGTGGCTGTGTCGTCTGGGGATGGCCCAGGAGCCTGCGGGGCTCTGGAGGGGATCCTCATCCAGCAGGTGTTTGAGTCAGGTAGACAGTGCTGGCCCTGGGGTGCACGTCTCCCTGTAGCTCTCGGTGGCCCCAGAGCAGACAGGACCATGGACGAGGCAGCCAGCATTCCCCAGGGTGCTGAGGGCTCCCCCTGGGGAGGGACTCCGGGACAACCAGGCCAGGGAACCCGAGAGGCCAGTGGTCCAGGGCCACACCCTGTCCACTTGGATGGGCCCCTTCAGGATCCCGAGCTCACATCCTTGGAACGTCCTTAGCTCACATGCCTGGGGTCCGCGGGCGGGCCTGTGCTGCTCAGACCTTCCGGGGAGGGCTGCTCTCGGCAGGACAGCCTGCAGCAACGCCCTCCCCACACCACCTCTGACTCCATCCTGTGCTGAGCACCGGCTCAGGACAAGGAGAGGCAGGACCAGCTGGCCCTGGGAGCTGCTGGAGGCCCTGGCCTCTCACCAGGCAGTGACCCGAGGACCCTGCAGTGGTTTCTTAGGGCTGCTTTGAGAAATGACCACTAACCGGGTGGCTGAAAGCAACAGAAATTCCAGAACGATGGTGTTGGCAAGGTCCCTCTCGAGGAGGCTGGGGCAGGTTCCGTCCTGCCTCTTCGGATCCTAGTGATGCCGGAACCTTGTTCCCTGGCTCATAGGCTGATCACGCCAGCCCCTGCCTCCATCCTCACAGGGCCTCCTCCCTGTGTCCCTCTGTCTTCACCTCTTCTCACAAGGACACCAGTCATTGGACGCAGGGTCCAGTGTGAGCCCATTTTTAACTAATTACATCTGCAAAGAGCCAGGTGGACATGACTTTGGGGGACACCGTTCGGCTCCCCAGCAGAGAACCCTCTGTGCCCGGAACCCTGGCCTCAGACCTGACTGGGGTGGATGGGGGAGGAGCACCCAGCTGCAGAGTCGCGGCCTCTCTGTCACCAGCTGGCCACTGGCCTGGGCCTGCAGTCAGACTGAGCAGGGCCAGCTGGGCAGGCAACCAGGCCAGCCAGCATCTCCTCCCAGGTGGCACCCAGAAGTGCATCCAGGTTGGGGGGGTTTACACCCCCAGCAAGTTTGAAGACCCCAGCGGGGGGAAGAACAAAGCCCGCAGTGGCGGAGGCCTGAAGACGGTGGTCCGAGCAAAGGGGACCCAGGTTGCTGCCCCAGTAAGCAGTGCCCACAGCCCCTAGGGAGGCCCCGGGTCCCATTCTCTGTCCTCGGCAGCAGCAATGCCACCGGCCAGGAGCTCCGCCTGTGGCTGGGGGCTCCTCGCCCCGCTGCCTCCCGTTGGTGACCCTGTCTTCTCCCTCGCAGACTGGAGGGGATCCCCGGGTAGGCCAGCAGGGCAGGGTCCCGGGCCCTCCTGCCCTTCCCAGCGAGCCCCAGCTTCACCAGGTAAGGCCCAGGTGTGGGGTGTGGCCTGATCCCCGAGATCCCGAGGGCTCGCACTAGTCCAGGACAAGGCCCGAGCTCCTGCTCACAGGGCGGAGCTCTGCTCGGCAAGAGTCTTTTTTGGTAACACACAGTCGTGAACATTCAAGTCAGAGAAAGTGAGTCTTCCCGGGCAGAGTCTTGCCCTCTACCACCCGTGCTCACAGGCACGGTGGTCTGCAGGGAGGGCCTAGGTGCCGTTGTAGCTCTGGTTCTGCCCCTGTGCGCTGTGTAACCTTGACTGGGTCACATCAAGGGCATTGGGTCCAGGTGTCCCTGGTCTCACACTTGGCCCATAGAGGGGGTGGTGGCCCCTGCTGGGAGCCAGGAACCCGAGTGCCCAGCACATCCTTGGGCTCCCAGCGCCATTTCTCAGCAAGGCTGACCCAGGCCCGGCTCCCAGGCCCGGCTCCCAGGCCCGGCTCCCAGGCCCGGCTCCCAGGCCCGGCTCCCAGGCCCGGCTCCCAGGCCCAGCTCCCAGGCCCGGCTCCCAGGCCCTCACACGAGGCACTGCCGGGGGGGGGGGGGCTCGAGAGGGAGCCACACCCACGCCCGCTCCTGGCTGGTGGGGTCCGGGAGGATTGCTACAACCAGTGTGCTCACTGCTGTGAGCAGCTGCCTGGCTGGCATTCAGGGGGCTTCTGGAGGAGTTGACAGCCAGGGAGGCATGGCGGGCGCATGCAGGCAAAGGCACAAGCGGACTGGGGACCTCAGGTGGAGGGGACAGTGGGTGCTGGAGGCTGCCAGGAACACCAGGGGCAGCCAGGGGGAGTGCAGTCCAGGGGCCCCCTGGGGCACAGGCCCCCAGAGCAACCTGGCTTTCTAAAGCCTGTTCTTCCCAGGGCAGATGGACCCAGGAGATGTGCAGGGACTAGAGTCTCAGAGACGGAGGGTCTGGGGCGGCCCAGGGGGCAGGCATCGGCCACAGGGGGCCAGGGAACCTGGTGTCCCTGGGAGATCTGCAGTGAGCCATTCTGGGGGCTCTGGGGAGGCTGGGCCCCACGCCTCCCCCCAGAGGCCTGGTGTCTTTCTGCGTCAGAAGAACGAGGACGAGTGTGCCGTGTGCAAGGACGGCGGGGAGCTCATTTGCTGTGACGGCTGTCCCCGGGCCTTCCACCTGCCCTGCCTGTCGCCGCCGCTCCAGGAGATCCCCAGGTGAGTGCGGCCTGCTGGTCACCTCCGCACCCATCCGCCCCCAGCTGGCTTCACAGCCACCTCCATCCGCTGACCCTGAGTGGGAGGCCACCCAGAAATCTCTGCTCCACGAGTGGGAAGTGAGGCCCCGCTTCAAGGGAGCTTTGGTTCAGGTCACTGGGCTGTGAAGCTGAGGCCTGGGCTGTTCCCACGCCACCTCCCTGCACGGCCACACTGTCCCCAGCCTGGCCAGTGGGACTGAGGATGGTGAAGCAGAATGGACGTGGGAAGCAGTGTCCAGCCCCCCCCCCCCCCAGGCAAACTGCCATGAGCAGCGGACCTCCCCACCCAAGCAACGCCGGGTCGGGGAGCCCAGAGGCCACTGAGCTGCACTCCCAGGGCGGGCCTACCCCTGGGCACCCTGCCTGGCCCACCGGGACAGCCCTGCCCTCTACCACCCGTGCTCACAGGCACGGTGGTCTGCAGGGAGGGCCTGGGTGGCGCTGTAGCTCTGGTTCTGCCCCTGTGCGCTGTGTAACCTTGACTGGGTCACATCTCTCTGAGCCTCAGATGCTTCTGCACCAAAAGGTGGGGTTCGGCCCAGGTCATTGTCCAGCTCCCCCCACTACCCCCAGACACCAAGCGTCTGCCATCCTTCCATTCTCTTCCTTGCTGCCCTTGACCGTCTCTCTTCCCCTGGGCACCATCTCCCTTAGAGTGTGGGGGTCCAGGGTATGAACACCCCGCCTAAGGAGGCCCCACCTGCAGGCCAGGCCTGTGGCCGCCAGGCACCGGTGGCTGCAGGTGGGGGTCTCGGGTGCTTTTGGGGCTCATCAGAGAAGCACGCATGGGGACACTGACCATATTGGTGAGGGCCACCCCACCAGGTGTAAATATTGGGCAGCATTGGCTCTTCTGTTCATTGGCTGGACAGGCCCTTCTCTTGTGGCTCTGCCCACTTCCTGCCTGGGCCTCCATTTCCCTGTCCCAGAGGAAAGGGTGACTTGGAGGGGCCCTCAGGCCTCGCCTGAGTTTGGGGTTTGGGACGCTACCAAGCTGACTCCTTGCCCTGCATGCCTCTGGCTGGTGACAACGTGAGCAGTGGGACCTGGAGATGCTCCAGCTGCCTCCAGGGAAGAGCCCAGCAGGACCTGCCCCGGGCTGAGGAGCCACCTGCAGAGACCAGGGTAAGCACAGGCCCACTCCCAGGCCCTCTGGCCACTCCTGTGGGTGGGGCCCGCGCAGCCGGTGAACCATCACCCCCACCCTGGCCTGGCCACATCCATTCCACTTTCTACAGTGAGGCCTGAGGGGGTGCCAGCTACCGGGCGGCTGCTCTTACAGTGGCCCCGTTTCTCAGTGCTCGAACTGGGGGGGGGGGGGTGGCTCGGCTTTGTCAGGCCAACACAGGGATGCATTTTGACCATTGAGAATGTCCACCCAGAAATGTTTGCCCTGGCCGGTGCGGCTCAGTGCTTAGAGCGTCAGCCCTTATACTGAAAGGCCGAGGCTTCAATTCCTGGTCAAGGGTATGTATCTGGGTTGCAGGTTCGATCCCTAGCCTGGCCGGGGAGCGTGCGTGCAGGAGGCAACCAGTGTCTCTCACACACGGATGTTTCTCCCTCTCTTTCTCCGTCCCTCGCTTCCGTTCTCTCTCAAAATCAATGGGAAATTGTCCTCCAGTGAGAATTAACAACAAATGCTTTCGCGTCTGTTACCGCAAAGACATGGTGGCTGTGACGCACCCCTGGATGTGTTGGAGTGTTTACTCTGAGTCCCTGAGGCCCCGGGGCACCTCATCTTTAGATGGGGAAAGGGTGGAGGGCTGAGGACGGCAGAGCTGGGACCTGGCCCTTTCTGACCCAGGGTGGTATTCCTCCCAGCCCCCCCCCCCAGAAGTCACTAACTTCCTGGGTGCTGCTGGCAAGTCTCCTGCAGCCCTCTGAGCACCGACCCTGCGGTTCCAGGTCCTCCTGGGACTGAGGCCCTCCGGAGAGGAGGCGACGGGACTGCTCAGGGAGCCCCCAGCTGGGGTAGACACTGCTGTCACCTACAAGCACCTGCTGAACCCACCTCCGGTGGCTCCCCTGCCTGTACTGGACCCCTCGGCCCTACGCCCCCTTCTATGTGTGGGCCCCGAGGGGCAGCAGGTGAGGGCTGGGGTCAGGGGGCTGGGTGCCTGCCTTCAGGGAGCTCAGGGCCTGCAGGGCAGCGGGAAACAGGACAGTGACACAGGGGAGTGACTGCAGCGGGAAAGCCCGCAGGAGTCTAGGGGTTAGGGGGTAGGAGGGCATTTGGGGAGTCCCCAGGTGCCCCATTCCGGGGATTCCTTGACCAGTCCTGAAGGAGGTCCAGGCCCACCAAGGGGGAGCGAGGTCGGGGCACCGGGTTTCCCTGGGCTGCAGCCCAAAGGTGAAGGCGCCCCTGCCCTGGGGCTGGGATCCCAAAGCCGCCCGCCCCGCCCCGGCGGGGCCCTGGGGCAGCGGACAGGGAGCGGTCCGGGGAGCGCGCCCGCTCAGCCCCCGCTCACGTGCCGTCCGTCCCGCAGGGCCCGGCGTCCGGCGCGCGTTGCGGGGTGTGCGGGGACGGGGCCGACGCGCTGCGGTGCGCACACTGCGCCGCCGCCTTCCACTGGCGCTGCCACTTCCCCGCGGGCGCCCGGCCGGGGTGAGTGCGACGGCGGGGGGCGGGGCGCCCCGGCGGCTCCGCGAGAGACCCGCCCGCCCCAGCCCCGGCCGAGCCGGGCAGCCCACAGCCTGTCCTCCGCTCTGCGCAGAGCCGTCCTGCGCTGCAGGTCCTGCTCCGGGGATCCCGCCCCGGCCCCGGGGGAAGGAGCGCCCGCCCCGCCCAGTGCCCGCCCGGCGCCCGGGCCCGCCAAGGTCAGTGCCCAAGTGGGCAGGGGACCCCGGGAGGGGGACCCCGCGGAGTTGAGAGGTGAAGGGAGCGCATCTCCAGAGGAAACCACGGCTCCAGTTTCGCGGGTTTGCCCCGTACCCCTCAACTCAACATGTGTTCCTTATTCACGTGCAACGTTTTTGTTTAAATCAACTCCTTTTTAAAATAATTTAAATCTGTTTAAAAAGGAAACCCACCTAAGCAATGGTTACAGGTTGGATGCAAATCTGTGCCCCGAGCTCCCCTAATCCCCAGTGCCCAGAGCCCCCTAGCCCCCAGCGCCCAGAGCCCCCATAACCCCCAGCGCCCCCCTAATCCCCAGTGCCCAGAGCCTCCTAGCCCCCAGCGCCCAGAGCTCCCCTAACCTCCAGCGCCCAGAGCCCCCATAACCCCCAGCGCCCCCCTAATCCCCAGCGTCCAGAGCTCCCCTAGCCCCCAGTGCCCAGAGCTCCCCTAACCTCCAGCGCCCAGAGCCCCCATAACCCCCAGTGCCCCCCTAATCCCCAGCGCCTAGAGCTCTCCTAACCCCCAGCGTCCAGAGCCCCCCTAATCCCCAGCGCCCAGAGCCCCCCTAACCTCCAGCGCCCAGAGCTCCTCTGACCTCCAGCGCCCAGAGCCCCCCTAACCCCCAGTGCCCAGAGCCCCCCTAACCTCCAGCACCCAGAGCCCCCCTAATCCCCAGCGCCCCCTAGCCTTCCTAATCCCCAGCGCCCAGACCCCCCTAGCCCCCAGCGCTCCCCTAACCTCCAGCGCCCAGAGCCCCCATAACCCCCAGCGCCCCCTAATCCCCAGCACCCAGAGCTCTCCTAACCCCCAGCGTCCAGAGCTCCCCTAGCCCCCAGTGCCCAGAGCCCCCCTAATCCCCAGCGCCCAGAGCCCCCCTAACCTCCAGCGCCCTTCCCCCAGCGCAGGAGTGCCTGGTGGGATGGGGTGAAGGGCGGGCGGGAAAGGGGGATGCACACGCGGTGAGGTGACCCACCAGTGTAATCTCCCGTCCCCGAAGGAAGTCCAGAATCGTAGGGAATTCTTATATAAATTTATCTGAGTCGAAACAGAGGATACTCCTGGAAGCAGGATCACAACAGACTGGGGGAAATACCCTGCAGAGTAAATTTGCAGTTTCTTCTCCGCATTTGAGATTCAGGAGAACCGTAAGGAAGGTTACTAGGAGGTGGGAGGGAGCAAGGCCTGACGGATTACACGCGGTTAAACCTTAGAGGGAGGAGCCCGAGAGGAGGCATTTCAGGGTGTGTCAACTGAGATGCACAGAAACAATGGACAGGCCTGGCCCAAGGCAAAGAAAGCCTTTTTTTTTTTTTTTTAAATCCTTACCTGAGGCTATTTATCTATTTATCATCAGATGGAGTGGGAGGGAGGGGGAGAGAGAGAGACAGACAGACAAACATGATCTAGTTGCCTCCCTCATGACCACAACCAGGGCCAGGGAAGAACCACAACCCAGTACGTGCCCTTGACCAGAATCGAACCTGTGCCTCATTGGTCGGGGGGCTAACACTCTAACCGCTGAGCTAAACCGGCCAGGGCAAGAGAAGCCCCGCCCCCCTTTTTTTTTACTGAAGAAGTTATATGCCCTCGACTACTCACCATGACCTGCCTGGTTAGGAATTTAAGACCAGGTCACCCTGTGAGGTTACTTTCTGTAGAACCCCATTTCTGTCCACACCCCAGCCCTCCCAGCCCCATCCTGCAGCTGGGAGTTCCTGGGGAGAAGTAACTCTCCATCCTCGTTTGTCTGGGAGGAAATGCAGCCATCCCGGGCTCCCCCAGAACCTGGGGGCGGGGGTCCCAGGTGTTCCCAGGAACCTCCAGAGGGCGGCACCTCTCGCCCTGGCTGCCCTATGCAGAGGCCTTCCTGACCACATCCCTGGCCTGGAGGAATCTTTGGGGGCCCTGGGAGAGGTGACGAGTCCGCATCCAGGCCCCCCTGCTCCCTAGCTGAGCCCATTGCTCCCTGACACTCTGTGGGAGGTGGCACCCCAGGCACTGCCTCACGGCCCCGCCCAGGTGGGCCTCATGGAACCCCCTGCAGGGCTCATTGTGCCTGGTCCTGTCCCTGCTGGAAGCCTCTCTCTGTCCCCACGCATCTGCACAGTGTGCCCACACCAGTTCACTGCCTCCTCCTCCAGTCAGCCTTGGGGGGGTGGTCACAGGAGGGGGTGCCTCCTTCCAGAATTTGCCTCCTTTACTGAGACCTGGGGACAGCAAAGACCCTTTCTTTCCATTGTGATGTAAAATGTCATGCCATTTTGGAGTAAAAAGTTGCAACTCTCTGCCCCTGTTCCTGGGGCCTAGTCACGTGACGGTGCCCCCCCCCTCCTGAAAGCTTCTGTGCACCTTGGGGCTGTGCTCCCCCTTCAAGCACCCAGGGTTGGTGCGCCTGGCAGGGCCTGTGTTTATCAGACCCACCAGCTGGAAGTGCTGACCATCGGCTGACTTGAGCTACAAACCCGGCGATTTCACTTGGTCCTACTTTGTATGGACTTCCCCGCTCCTGGTGGGGAGCCTCGTTCCCTGCTCTGGCCCCTTGCCCAGGGGCATGGTTGGCCCTGGCCATGTTTGTTGGGTGGCTGAATGACTGGCATTGGACCTGGTACTTTCCTGTCTAGGCTTCAGTTTTCAATCAGTGACAGGGGTCTCTGAGTCACCTCGTTCCCCAAAGGGCCACATGCGCACGTGGAGGCAGGTCTGGGGGCCTGGGGCAGCCGGCTTCAGAGGTGTACGGCCCTGGGCAGGCAGTCCCAAGCTCACCCACCCACACCCACCCTGCCTGTGCCCACTGCCCCTGGAGGAGCTAGGTGTTAGAATTCAGTTCTTAGGGCCCCCCCAAAAGCACCTGTACCACCCCACTTCCCTGGCACCTGCCACCTACCCCCAGCCCCTGATGCCTCTGCAGGGAGTCCTGTTTCCATAGGGATGTCCCCAGAAGGGGTGTGGAAGTTGAAGTTGGGGTGACCTCCCTTTCCTGGGTTGTAGGCAGCGGATGATTCTACTGGTCGCGAGCCGGTTCTGCAGAGGGATGACCTGGAGTCCCTTCTGAGCGAGGTAACACATCACCTGGCTGGGCCTGCACCTGTCCTCCACCTTGTTCTTTATTGCTCTCCCCAACCCCTGCCCCCAAGCCAGCCAGCACCAGAGCACCGGAGGGGCTGGGGGACCCGCCTCTGGTGTTCCAAGCACCCCAGGCCAACGTACTCCAGCACGGCACTGACCCCTCTGTGCACACGAGCCTACAAACACTGAGGGGATCCTGAGCTGGCCTGGAGGTCACGGGGGGTCGGAGGCTGCTGAGCCCCAGCAGCAGAGCCACTGAAGTCTGACTTGGAGGCCATGACTTTCCCTGGGGGGCAGATAGGGGTGCCCAGAAGCTCTGCTATTTGTCGGTAGGTCTCTCCCTCCCGCTCAGCCCAGGCTCTCTGCCTGAAGATGAGCAGACTTGCTGGGAAGAAAATGTGGCTTTTAGGGGCCTCATCTTCTTTTGACAGGAGTCCAGAGCTTCAGCCACTTCCCTACCAGCTGGCCAGTTGTGGGCGGGGCGGGCACACCTGCCCCCAGAGGCTCTGGCCAGGCCCCAGAGCCCCGGTCTGCTCTTTCCCGCAGCACTCCTTCGACGGCATCCTGCAGTGGGCCATCCAGAGCATGGCTCGCCCGATGGCCGAGGCGCCCACCTTCCCCTCCTGAGTCCGGGGGCCCCAGTGGAGCATCCGTGGAGCAGTGGGTGCCCACTCGTGCTCACGGCGATTCTGCTCCGAGAGGACAAGCCCCCTCACGCCTCAAGCTGTGCAGGTCAGCGCCCAGAGGAACTGAAGTTCCGACTGTCAGCACCGCTTGTAAAAACCCGTCTTCGTAAGCACAAAGCCATCCCGTGCGCTAAAATTAAAGTCACGTCTGTGTGGTTTCAAGGTGTCCTCCAGGCAACGGGGTGTGTTTATTTTGGGGGTCTGAACCCCTGCGTTTCTGGTGTGTGAAGTGTAGGCCAAGCTGGCTGGATGGGAACGCACCAGAGTGGGACGAGACGTGCCTGTGAGGAGGGATCACACTGAGAAGTGCACAGTGCACCCCACTCTGCAGGGAGCACCCCTGTGCTGCCCACTGCCCAGGTCCCCACGTTCAGTCTGGTCGCACCCGCCTCTGCCTCTGCCCCCACTGTGCTCCTGCTCCCCTCTCTTCCTCAGGGGCCAAGCTCAGCCCACCCCAGGGCCTTTGCAGGGCTGCTCCCCCTGCTCAGATTTCCTTTCGTGGATGCTTCGCCGTCTGTTTTCTCAGCATGGAGAGCTCAGCTGCAATGTCGACTCATTTACTCGTTCGTTCATTCATTCTTCATTCATTCATTCAAGAAACTTCCTCATGGATCTTCCAAGTGCTGAGCATATTTCCAGGCACGGGGTCCTGGAGGAATATTCTAGTGGAGGGGTGAATCACATACAGGAGGAAGGTGGCCTCCGCCGGGTAACTGCTGTGACGCAGAGGCAGGACGGGGCCAGGGGCAGAGGCTGGGAAAGGGCCCCGTGTGTCTGGGGCAGACAGGAGGTCCTGTGATCAGGGCACAGAGGCTGCAGTGGGGAGCCTTATTTTTCTCGTGGTGACCACCACAGTCAGAAGCCAGCCTCTGGGTTGGCCGACTTCTTTCCTCGTTGTGTCTGTCTCCCCCAGAACTGCAGCTGGGGGCCCTGGAACCTGGTCTAGTTCTTGGCCATGTCCCCAGGGCCTGGCACAGCTGGTGGGTCAGTGTTGGTGGAAGGGGATTTCGGGGTTGTCAGAGTTCCCTCACCGGCAGGAGCTCATGGCAGAACGCCCAGATGGGGGTCAGAGAGCTGGGAGGAAGGGGAGCTGCCTCAGGTCTCCCTGTGAGTGGGCAGCAGAGCCAGGATTTGTGCTGACTTGGGACAGGGCTTTCATTCCCACCAGGGAGGCCCACACAGGGAGCCGTAGGGGGTCCTAGCTCAGGACTCTCAGCCCTCGGCCTCTCTGGGGTCTGGCTGGCTCACACAGCCCCTCTGGAGACCCTCTGGGCCTCTTTGCCTGCAGAGGGGCTCCTTAGGCAGCACCACAGGGTGGGGCGAGGGAGGGGCAGGCCACCTCAGACAGCTCATGCTTAGGGTCTGTTTAGCCCTGGAGGGGGCTGACTCCCACCCGCACGGGGCAAGTGCCCATTCCTCCTGGGTGAGCAGGTGTGCACGAATGGGCAGCTGGGCCAGCCAGGCAGGCAGGCAGAGGGCAGCAGCGGGACCCTTCCTGGCACAGCAGCAGGCATCCAGTGCGTCCCGACCCCTGGTCATCTGTGGGAGCCTGCATCCAGCAGTGGCTACTGTGGCTTTTCCTCGCCCAGTGACACCACACTTGCCAGTTAGCTTTTCGCAGCAAAACCATGTGTTTTTCAGAATGTACACAGCTATCCCCAGGAGGGCTCCACCGAGATGGAGCTTCTTGGCTTCTCTCCAGAAACTAGCCTATTACTTTGTTTAAAAAAAAAAAAAGAATGTAGCAGGCACAGACACATGTGACAAAACGAGAAGAAAACGATGCTCGAACACGTCAGCACCTGGTTACCCCGGAGGCGGCACAGGGTTCCTTCTTCATGCTCGTTACCTGGACATTGTGGTTTTTCTCCGATGCCTTACATTTCCCATTGCTGCAAGTGAATACCACTACCTGGTGGCAACCACGTCTGTTTTTGTTTTTGTTTTTTTTTGGTTAATCCTCACCCAGGGATATTTTTTCCATTGATTTTTAGAGAGTGTGGGAGGGAGGAAGGGGGAGAGAGAGAGAGAGAGAGAGAGAGAGAGAGAGAGATTGATGTGAGAGAGACACATCAATTGGTTGCCTCCTACACACACCCTGCCTGGGACCAGGGACTGAATCTGCAACCCAGGTACATGCCCTTGACTGGGACTCAAACCTGTGATGTTTCTGTTCTCAGACCAACACTCTAACCATTGAGCCACACTGGCCAGGGTCCACGCCTGGTGTTTGAGTATAGCACCTCAAGAGGCAAACTCCACTTGGAGTTCAGTAACATGGGGACTCACCTACCAGCTACCAGGCTCCCTGAGGGTGGGGGCAAAGTCCGTTCTGCTGATCACACTGGGTCCCTACTGGGCAGGTTGGGGCTGGGACACCTGGCTAAGCAGAGCGCTTCATCACTCAGCTTGACTGAGCCTACGATGACTATTCAAGATAGAGGCCACTGTCCTGCCCCAGGTACCCCCTCCCCAATGCTGCCTGGTGTGCAAGAGTTTTCCAGCAGATAATTACTGAAGTAACGAATAAATAAATGCTGGCTGGTGTTCGGCTTAACCCCACTGGGCATCTTAGCCGGCGGCCCCCTCTCGGTGGACCCTCAGCCTAAGCTGGAAGGCAGGCAGTCCCTGCCGGAGGACAAGCGGCTCAGGAAACTATTGAGAAACAGTTAAAGTAGGCGGGGCCTAGAATTACAACTTCTGCAACTGCTTTTGCAAAGCGCTGTGTCTGTGTTGCTGGCCTGGGTCTGGCGATGCAAAGGTCAAGCTGTTTCTAACGCCGTGAAAAGTTCTGCTGGGTTGGGTTTGGGTTTAACAGCACCTGGACGGTTATGAAAAGGACCCTCGATAAACGGACACCTTTGTTAGGCGAACAGGTTTAGAAACGTAAAACGGCTGGCCACGGTCCGCCAAGGTCACAGATCCCTACTAGTGGGGTGCTGGCCCCGTGTTCCCGGGGGTTCAGGTGCCTGGCGCGCACCAGGGGCCCCAGGACCCTGGGGACAGCTGCGGGCACTTTCCGAGGGGTGGCGCTGGACCCCTCTTCGACCTTCCCACTGGCGTGGGCAGCGGTGACCTCACACCGGGGCGGGACCGGGGCGGGGCGGAGGCGGGACCGGGGAGAGCGTGCAGCGCTGGCGGTGAGCGAGCAGCCGGTCTTGGCGCCACCATGGCCACCGTGGACCTGGAGAAGTTGCGGATGTGCGGGGCCGGCAAGGCCATCGGCGTGCTGACCAGCGGCGGCGATGCGCAAGGTGGGCGGGGCGCGGGCCCTGTCGCTGGGCGGCGAGTGGGGGTGCCCACCTGTCCCCGGGACCCTCCGCGTGCGCCCGCCATCCTCGGCCGGGACCTGGGGCTCAGCGGCTCCCCCGTCGGCGCCGCGCCTCCGGTCCCTCTCCTGTCCCCAGCCCGCCCCGACGCTCCGGGTCGCCCGCGTACGTGCCGCACGCCACGGCTCCCACGCCCCGCCCTCGCGCGCCCGCGGGGGGTGTGTCTGTGGGCCGCGGCGGCCCGGGGACTCTGCGCGCCGGGCGGGCGCAGGACTGGCCGCTGTCGCCCCTCCTGCCGACCCGGAGGCTCCCCGCGCGCCTTCCTGGTGGCGCGTCTCCGGAGACCGGTTCCTGAAGGCCGCGCTGAGCCCTGCAGGTCCCGCAGACACTGAGAGCCAGGCCCTTCCTGGTTCTGAAACGAAACCTGGGGACACTCGGATTCCCCCAAACATGGCCTCCAGGGCGCCTCTGACGCCCGCCCCCTCCCCGCCCCACATCCCCGTCCTTCCTGACGGGCAGGGGTGGGGGCAGCATCCCTACCCAGGTCATACCTACCCGGAACAGCCCCGCAGCCGCCCTGCGAGGCCCAGTGAGGAAGAGGGTACCTTAGGGAGGTGCGCTGTCTGGGGCTTGGGGAGTTTCCTTTAGCTCAGACCTGTTCTCACACCCCCACCCCCACGGAAAGCCCAATGCCTGGGAGCTGGGGCCTGGCAGAGCTGAACACGTACCCTGCCTGGGGTGGGGGGGAGTCTGTCCCAGCAGCCCCCCTCCTGGCTATTGCTTTCAGTGCCTCTGACCGACCTGGGACGGCCAGTTTGGCGCCTGACGTGATGGGCCATATGGCCACAGCCTGAGACGCGGGAGAGGTCAGGAAGCAGGGCTGGAGCCAGTGCCCTCACGTGCTCAGCGCGCTCGCTCTGTCTCCCTCCGGATCAGAGGGCAGCACACACCGTAGCTCCCTGCCTCAGGCTCCTCATTCCCCCGGGGAAGGCCCTAAGAATTGCCTCTGTCAGTGCCCCACCTGCAAGGGGCCCTCTTGCAGATTCAGGTTGAACCCTCAGGGCCTGGCCTGGCTGGCAGTCAGCGTGCCCTTCTGCACGTCCGCAGCCCCTCAGCCAGAGCACTTGCCGCCTGTTCCTCCCTAGAGCGTGGCCAGGGAGCCTGGCTGGGGTGAGCCGGCTTGGAGGTGGCCTTGGGGAAGCATCATCCTGTGAGATTAGACTGTGAGAAAGGACACACCCTGAGGGGGCTGGACCCACCTCACCACACAGGCACCGAGGCCCATGAGGCCCCCAACTCCCATGGCTCATGCAGGCAGGGCTGTCTCCACCCCAGGCTCCTGTCTGCACAGTGGAGACAACGGCACCCAAGAGGGGGTTGGGACAGATGGCGTGCATTTACACCAGGGGGCAAAGCCTGTCTGAGTTGTTGCCCTGGTGCCTCACAAAGAAGGGGCAGTGCTTCCTGGACATGGCTGCAGTGTGGCCGTCAGTGCACCTGTTGGCTGGCCTCATGCCTTTCTCTGCAAGTTTCACCACCACCTAGAGCCCTGCAGCTTCGACTCCTGTCCTGTGTGCCCCCTCCAACCTGCAGACGTGGTAGCCTTGGCTTCTGTCCGGGGCTGCACCGAGGCCTGCACACACTGCCCAGTTCGGGGCTCTGCCACTCGGGA